CTAACCCTAACCCTAACCCTAACCCTAACCCTAACCCTAACCCTAACCCTAACCCTAATTCTAACTGAAGCCTAATGAGATGCAGGATAGCCCTGCACATATGGACACAGTTTGACCAAATCTGCTCAGTTGTTACACCATGGTCTTGCCAAATGTTCTGTCAAAGGGCTGCAACAGGGTGTAAAGCAATTTTACCTGTTCAGAGACTGATGGAAACAGAGGATCAGAACCCTTGAGCTGAAAGGGGCTCCTGAGGCCATTAAGCTTAAGGCCATCTCGGTGCAGGAATCGGAGTCAAAGCCCTCCAGATGAACGGCTTGTCCAACCTCCACTTGAAGGAAAGCCCAGCGTCTCTCCAGGTCATTGTCCAGCTGCTGTTAGTGTTAGGAAGGTTTTTTTTATATTAAAAGCAGAAATGCTCTTCAGATATCATTTCTGCAATGCCAGTCATGTTTCATGCATGGTTTTCTCCCAAGGAATTTCTCAACATACCAAAATAGTTTTGATTTTCCAAATTTTTCTGGAATCCCAGCTTTGACCTGAAAAAAAAATCTACCCAGAGATGCATTCATTCTTCATCTTTATTTTTTAGGATCAGACCAAACTAATAACCATTAGCTAATTTGTTAAGGATGTATAAGATATAGAGTAAATCCAGGTATATTCTCTTTCTTGCATATGACAGTTCTGCTTGTATTACAGAATGGTATTTTCCGTCTATTAGGGTGAAATTGGTGAACCAGGACAGAAAGGAAACAAAGGTGACAAAGGAGAACAGGTGAGGTCTGGCTTTCCCAGGTGGAGGGAAGGGAGGACATTATCACCCATATCATGATGCTTCCCAACTGCCCTCTTGGGCAGCTATGCAGTAGGAGCTGTTTTGGTGTGAGCATTCCTGAATCAAAGCTGCTTTTCCAGCCTCTCGACCCTCAGGGTAGGCCAGAGGCCCCAGTAATGAGTATGGCCACAAAAACCTCAACTTGGAAGTGGAATCCATCTCACCTCTTCTGAACAAAGAGAGTTACCCAACGGTGAAAATTCATTGGGATGTGCCTTGTTACTTCTTCAGCAGGATTTAGAATTGCAAGGGTCTATATTTTAGCCCTCCCCTCTTCTCGACCTGGTCAGGAAAAGCTATAGTAGGATTTCCTATTTCTCAGCATCTATCACTGTAGTTGGAGGACTCTGGCAGAATCTAAGGGGCGACACTTCCAGCCAAAACCAGCATGGTATCAATGCTAGTCAAGAGATTCTATGGAAACTGGGCAGTCTTACAGGATGATAGGATTGCACTGGCCTGCTGCACTGGCCTCCTTAGATTGACTTCAACCAACTTTTTTGCCATTTCTTTGAAGACATGTGTTTGTTTCTTGCCAGGGTCCACCAGGTCCCATCGGTCCACAGGGCCCAATTGGCCAACCAGGTCCAGCGGTAAGTAAGCCTTCTGTGGATAAAGGTTCCCTGTAGTTAAAACATAGGCTGATCCTTAAAAGGCCCAACCCTCCATGGCTTGAAGACTTGGTTGTTCACTCCATGGCAGCTGAAGATTCATCGCAGAAAGAGAAAGGATGTGTCTCTGTGTTACTTCCACATAGTTTCTCCTCCTGCTTATTTTTTATCCTCTTGACCCATGCAATGTGTAGTTCTGGGAGGGCAAATAGATCAAACTTTTCAAAGATAAGCCCCTTCAAATTGAATTCTTTGGTTCAAGGGCCATCTTTATTGTTGAACTGTACAGAATTAAGTTCCATGAATGGTTGGATGGATGTCTGCATGGCTGGAACTTTTGATGGCCTAATGCATATTAGAGACCCTGGTCTTCTTCTGCATGAGATTTAAAGAGCTAGCATTTAATATTCCTTTAGCTGTAAACATTTATGTTTTCTGCACAGGGAGCTGATGGAGAACCTGGCCCACGAGGGCAACAAGGACTTTTTGGTCAGAAAGGTGATGAAGGGCCAAGAGGATTTCCTGGCCCTCCAGGTCCAGTTGGGTTGCAGGTAATTGCCAACATAAATTGGATCTAGGGGCCTGGTATTGATTCAGCGTTTACAGCACTGGAGGGTTCCAGTTGAAACAGAAAAGCAGAGAAATAAGGATTGCCTGTTAATCTGGGTATCAAAAAGCGTCTACACCTGCAATTCCTTGTTTTTTGTTTGTTTCCACTCTGTCTCTTTGCATTACCCTAAATTCATTGGGCTTGATTACAGGTAGTCCCCGGGTTAAGAACACCCGGTTTAAGGATGACCCATAGTTAAGAACGGAGCCTAGTGTAGCAAAATTTGAGTCAAATACACAATGGTTCGAGTTCATTACACAATGCTGCTTATACAATAATAAACAATAATACTGTTCTGACTTATGTACAAATTCAGCTTAAGGACAGACCTTGGGAATGGAACTCATTCTTAAACTGGGGATTACCTGTATAGGACTGTGAAGTCTAAAAGTGCTATGCCTGGAATGTTTGTTCCAACAAGTTGAGTTCTAGGTTTGTTGGGAATGTGGGGAATGTGTGAAATATTTGCAAAATGTGTGAAATGCCCTCTGGAATGAGGGTGCCCCCCCCAAGATCCAAATCCGTCCCC